AAAAAATGTTTTAAAATAAAAAAGAGTTTTAATAAAAAGAACATATTGTGTTCAAGATTAAAAAAGTATCATTAATAAAAACTTTGATGTAAAAAAAAGTATATTAATTAGTATATAAAAAAAATGATAAGTAAAAGAGGCTTGAAAGAGTCAAAACGGGCTTTAGGGCTTTTTGGACCCAAACCTGATCAAAGCAGAAGCAAAAAGGGGGGTGACAATTGGGAAAACGTTTGGGCTTAGGTGTAGAAAGGGCAAGGCCCATGATAATTCAACAGATTTCATTTTAGGGTTTCAGAATGTTTGTTTCATTTGGGACATAAGGGTTTACAGCGCCGTTGTCGTTCTTTCATCACTTCGTCTTCTTCGTTCGTTCTTCCGCCTCTGAGTTTCTCTTTCCCATGTCCACCGGCGTCCTCAACCTTCCTCTTCCCTTCAATGAATCGCTAGGGCGACAGATTTCAAGGTAATAATCTTCGTCTCAATCTCATTAGGGTTTTGTTATTTGCATGTTATGATTTCGCCCCTTATTGATTCTGATTTCATATTGTTATGGTTATTTGAGGTGCGTGAAAGAAAGAGAGGGAGGGATACTACCTTTGGAGACAGAGGAGGAAAGGATTGGGAGGTGCTGTGACGGCCAAGGCGGTGAGGGACGGTGCTGAGCTAGCTTTGCTTAGAGACCCTGGTATTTTGTATTTTTGCCTCTTTGTTGTTGATTTGATGATGACTTATCTGAGAACAACTTCTTTATCTTCTTCTCTTTCACTCGCTTCTGTTGCCTCTGAATATTTGTTGTTGATTTTTGGGTATGCTTTCTTTCTTCTTCTCCTGATTTCCTTAATGACTACCCTGTGTTTGGTTGCCTGTTGATATGTTGCCTTCGTTTGTATGCTTGGGATCGATTTGAATGTTTTCTTGCCCAGTGATGAAGATTTTCTGAGGGCCTGTGTGGGTTCTGTACGTGTTTGGATATTTCGAGGTTTAGTATGCTTGGCTTTGCTGGGTAAGGATTATGCAGGTAAGGCTTGAAAGGTTGGTGCTTAGCGTGAGGCTATGGCTTGTGCGTACTGAGTTTTTTGACACAGGTTTGGCTTTAAGTGTGAAGCAGGCCATGGCCTTGGAAGCTCTGTTTGTGAGCTTCAGTGGGTTGATGGTTTGTTTGTTTTGGTTATGGCTTACTAGTTTTGACAGGTTGATGGTTTGTTGGTGAGGTTATGCTACAGGTTGTTTAGGCTAAGGGCTTACTGGTTTTGACAGGTTGATGGTTTATTGGTGAGGTTATGCTACAGGTTGTTGAGGCTAAGGGCTTGGTGATAGTCTTGGCTGTTTTTTTTTGGTTCTTAAGCTTTTACAGTTTTGTGTTGTTGGAGGTTTAAATCAGGTTTTCGTGTTTTGATATCGCTTTGGTGATTTGCTTCAGGCAGGTTATGTGTTTGGATATCTGGCTTTGGTTTTTTAGGCTTATGCTCGTTATATCCTTTTTTGGTTTGATGACTTTGGGATGTTTTTTTGTATGTCCCTTTAGGTTCTTTGGCGCCTATGATTTTGAATGTCTCAGGTTTGGTATCTTTTCTTGGTCAAACTGATGGGCAGATTTGCAAGGTCTTAATGTGGAAAGATAATTATGTTACCTTTTATTGACAGTTTTGTTTGCATTCCAATTTCTTCATATTTCTGCCTTCTGTCTTACCGTTTCATTGCAGTTTTTATGTATACTGTCTCATGCCTAAACCTGTAAGCCCGTTCTTTCTCTCTTTTTATCTCTCTCCAATACTTAAGCATATTATATTGCTTAACATGTATTAATTCTGAAAAAGCAAATTAGCCTGGAAATGATGAAACTGAATTTGCTTGCAATAGTAGCCTAACTCTGCATATTTTGTCTTCTTCTTTCCATACTTTGTGCTTCTTGACAACATTGATGGTACTTTTGTATTTTGATATTCTTTGAACAACTTTTGTTTAGTTTGACATTGGAACTGAGTTTTGAAATTTGAACTTGCTTTAGGCCATTCAGTTTATAACTTGGACTTTGTTATTTGCATATGCTGTTCTTGAACTATACAGTTTTGACAATTTTGAAATGTGCAATTTTTGACTTTGTGCATTCATTTTTAACTTGCAAATATTTTTCATCCCTCTTTGTGAACCGGGAGAAATCTCATGATTTGCAGAGAGGGTTAACTGATCCCAGCCATTTGCTTTTAATCATGAACCCAAACTTTAATTGTCCGCTTCCCTTTTTTTAATTATTTATCCGCCTCAATTGACTTTTTCTTCTTTTCTTTGCAGATAAAAAATCAAATGGAGAGGAAAAGCGAAAGATGGAGGATGAAGAATTGAAGACTTAGAAAAATATTAGGATAGTTTATTTAAATTTGAAGACTCATAATATATTAAATTCAATGCATCAAATATTGTAACAACACGTCGTCAATTATAACTTTAAAATTTGTCACATCATCTCATTCTCCTATGTGGCACATCCTAAAACTTATTTGCGCTTTTTAAAATGTCAAGTACAATTCTTCTACAAATTGGATGTCACAGGTGAAATAAAATCTTATTTTGGACAAAATGGTCTAACAAGACAATGTATATTTCCTTTCTTTTTCCTGAAATTATAACAGTAAAAATAACACTTGAAACATATGTTTTTTATTTTAAAGTAATTATCACACAATTTTCAAATATAAGTCGTTACGAGTTGATCTTAAAATATAATACAATATTCATTAATCTTTTAATGTGTCTATATACTTTACTATTATATTTTTCATATAATACCAAATAATAAATTAAAGACAAACAACAATATTTATGATTTTTTGCATATGAGAATATATAATTTTTTAAAATATTTTTATTTATTTTTATAATTGTGAGCATAGAGGAGTATAGTAAAAACAACCATAGAGATTATAGTAAATACATATATTTAACAAAGTAAAATAAAATATCTAAATAAAAAATAAGTTCAAAAACACATGAGAATCAAAACAAAATAAAAATACTTTATAGATATTTAAGTTTGTAAATCTAAATTACGGATGTCACTCTGTATTTACAAGCATACAAGCATTTAAATAAACTTGTAATATAAATTTAATAATTAGATTTTCCAAAACAAACTCTCAATTCAAAAAAAAAAATTGTAGTATAAATTTAGTAATTATATTTTCCAAAACAAACTCTTAATATATTTAAAATTTAAAAAATAAATAAACAAGCTAATATACACCCGCGCATCGCGCGGTTCCTAATCTAGTTAATGTATAATTTCTTGGATGATATGTAATGACATAGTAGATTTTACAATGTGATGTATGTATGTATGTGAACATGTTTTAGTTCTGTTTTTCAACAGGTTGTTATGGCTATGCATTGTTGTCTTTATTAATGTGTGCGATGATTATGATTGATCTAAACTAATATTTATTAACGCATTGTCCTGCATTACTTGAAACTAATGTGAAATTCTAAGGCATCTTTGTAGTATATCTATTTTTCATTCATATTTTGGTTTGATTATTCTGTGAAGTTTTTGGAAATTAGTGTCATTGCAGCACATTAATAATTGTACTGCAAATAATAAATAGTCACATTGGTCTTGTTAGTACAACTCCAAAGATATTTGTTTTGTATATGTTCATGTATGTGTTATGTATGCATGCAGTTTTGAATTTGTTTTGTGTTGTGTGTTTTAAATATTTAGATTATAAATTGAGGGACAAAGAGTGGACTAAATTTCTAAGGTTTAGTCAAGAGTACATCAACGGTGTTATTAAACTTTTAGACTTTGCCTACACTAATGGAAGACCTTAAGGAGAAAAGCTTTTATGCCCTTGTGTCAAGTGTAAAAATTTGTATTGGAAAACAAGAGATAATATTAAAGATTACTTAATAGCCAAAGGTTTTCTAAAAGGTTATGACGTATGGTTGCACCATGGGGAGTAATTGCAAAGGTCTATGGAAATTGGTGATGAGATGTAAGATCAAGAGGAATCACATGATGACATTCCTGACTTATTTCATGACATATATATAGATAGGAAAAAAGCACATGGAATTCATAAAGGTCTCAATGATGATGCTAGAAAGTTTTACAATTTGATTAAAGAGACGGAACAAGAATTGTACTAGGATGCAAAGACTTCTCTATATCATTCATGATTCTACTCTACTTGTTGAAATGTCTTCACGACCAAACCTAAAGCCTATTTTGTAAATCTGAATAAAACATGAACAATACACATAAAAATTTCGAAGAATATAAATAGAAACTATTGATTCATGAAAGAAACCAGTAACCATTTATTCACAAAATCACAATGAACCTAAACATTCAGAAGCGTTAGAGAGAGAAGCTGAGCATTTTTTAGCATCATAGTTTTTAGGTTAGTAATTTGGGAGGAAGCTGAGCAAAATTAGATACAACAAATAATGAGCTTGACCATACAAATAAGAGTATCCATGATTAGAGTTGCCAAAAAGAGTTAGTGTTAATGTTGTCTTGATGGACAATTGTGGATGGTGTCTAGTTACGACTAACACCAGGCCTGACGACAATAGTGACGAAAAATCACCAAAGTTGACACGCCATATCATATCAATTGTTAGATTTAGTTTTTGGTCTAAAATGTGTGAAAGACATACTGCAGTTCATGAAATAAATAAAGAGGAACTATTAACTTGCTTGATCAATTTATTTTTACTAAACACCCATTGTCTAATTAATTTGGTATTTTCTTGTTGTTTAATTTTAAGGACCTTTTTGTTTCCATAACTACATTGCTTTAAAACATTAAAAAAAATATTTTATAGGAAAATTATGAAATATTATTATGATAAATGTTTCACAAAAGACAAAGAATTGGTAACAACAAAGAAGTAGTAGTTTCTACTAAAACATTATTATTTATATCAGACGTTTATAATTCATCACGAAGTAATAGTTTCTACTAAAACAGTATTTTTATTCTATAATATTCAATATTCCTTTAGCGACAGTTATAACCCCTGCCATGCCCACCAAAGTAAATGTGATAGCCCCACTTCGGATTAGTATTTCCTTGTAATATACTATAACAAAAAAAATTTGTAAGACCATATTTAGGATTTTTGAAAGGTTTCAAGTTGTTGTCACCATCTATAACTTGCAGATTTCTAATATATGCAGCTTTTCTAAAACCCTCGTCAGGAAAGTTTCCACTTCCCATTGCGGTGGAAGTGTGAGACCCTGTTGTTTTTATGTTCACTATTTCTCCACCAAAATTAACTTCATCTGCAGCAGACTTCAAGTGTGTGAACAAATTGGACGGCCAGTACCCAATTAATGTTCCAGCTCCTGGTCCAGCTACAAGCCACCAATGTCCAGTATAGTTATGCTTCACACATAAAAAAAAAAACAAAGTTAAATGGTTTAAAAAGAGATAAAGCATGGCTTTAAATTACGGTCTGCCAACCCAATATTGCTGATGAAATAATCTCCGCAATTCTGGTGTGATTTGAAATCACGCGATCTTCCTCATTATAAACCCCATCAGATAACTACACATATGTTTTTTCAACTATTTTCGTCAAAACTAAAAATTTAGAAGACTAAAGGTAATTTATTTATAAAAATATTATCAATTAAGTGTTTTTTAACATGTATTTCAAACATTTTCATTCAAAATCCGCGTTGCAACGACCGCATTGCACATCAAATCAAGTGTGACTGCGACCACAACTGAAATTTAAAACCGTGGCGTAAAGTATATGAAGGACACATTATTTGAATTCATTTGGATTAGAGCAATGTAGATATTACCTTCAACACCTTTAAGTTCATAGAATACTGCACTCCATTATATGTAGAAATCTGATTAATTGCACCTCCTATTGCATAATTTTTGTTAGTTTGAACAAAGCCTGAACAAACTAAATTGTAGCACCCAGTTTTTTTATAATCATCAGCCTACAATTATAAATATTGTCATGTACTAGTACATTTAACAACGACTTTTTTTATAATAGTAATTTTCTCGTTAATTTATAATTTATTTATACTAGTCTTCTTACCGTCCAATAGATAAAAAATCGAGTGCGGTAGTCACCGTAGAGATGCGGGTAAACCTGCATAAAAATGACTTGAAATTGTTTATGCTCAATATGTTGCTTAAGCAGCCAAAGGAAAAGAATTAATGGTGTACTAAATGATAATTGTTAACATGCCTGCCAACCAATTTCAATGGAGTTGAGATCTTTTCCAGATGTACCAGCGACAAGCCACATTTGAGCCAAGCTAAATTCCCTTTCATTTTCTATATAAGGTTGCCACACGTTAAAGGTACCCTCTCCTCCATGGAACTTATCATTTTTCTCTGAAACAACTACATACTGTTCAACAATAACAAAACCAATTTTATTATTGTAAGAATCTATAATACACATGTGACTTGTTGTTATGTTTAATCATATGAGTTGGAGTTAGATATGAAGATTTCATGAATAATCTAAAGAAAGACATTGAGAGAGAAATAATTGAGTATATGTGATTGCATACTTCATGTACATAAGGATCGTCAAATTTTCTTCCAAAGCTATTAATAGAGTAAGCTCTTAACATGTCTTCTTCTGTTATTCTTCTAATTGGAATTGATCCATCTGGACATGATTCACCCGATAAACTCCATATTTGAAAATGATCACTCGTATTTTCTATTTGATGCTGCCTTCTTAGACTTTCAGGAGGATCCTAAATATAAAAAGATGGACACGAAAAATTCCCTTTCTATAAAAGTAGAAATATAATAGCTTTCATAGTTTCAAATTTTTTATATTTTATCAACAAAGAAAAACTACCATTGGTTTTTGTCCTTTTAATAAAGGATGATCAAAAGCTGGTTGTTTATGATTCAAAACACAATCTATGATATCACCATCGGGACTCTGCAAAAAGTGAACACAAGTGTGTATATAAGTCAGGTTTCAAGGCTAAAGAGTGTGTTTAGATGAAGAAATTTCTAAACACAATATAAAAAATTATATTTAATTCTTCTCATTTTTAAAATTTATATTATCATGTATACCTGAATGGTCTTAATTGCGGGCTTGTTGATTTGCTGAAGACGGGTAGCTATCATCTTCTTCAATTTGTGAAGTTGTTGTGCAGATCTAAAGGTTTGATTGACTGATTGGTGGTTTTTTGTTTCTAAAGAATTAACAGGAAACCCAAAAGAAACTGCAATAAAAATGTATAAAACGAGGAAACTGATTGAAGAACTAAAAACCATTTTTGATTTTGAGAGTTCTTCTCCGCAACTAAAATTAAATATATTTTTTGTAATAGAAAATTTGTGTTGTGTGAATGTGTATATATATATGTTACATTATTGACTTTATTTCTCAATTTATAACTATTAAATTATTCATAATTAATATAATAATTAGATAACCACGTAACTGATCAAAATCATAAAATTGTATTTTACTGGTTCTAACTCACCGCGTTTCCATAAAACCTATAAATATCTATACTAAAATATGATAAAATTACAATAAAAAATATAATATTATTCAATTTTTTATTTTTACTAGTTTAAATAATATAAGAAAAATTACAATATAAGAAACAAGGAATCTACACTATGAATGATTGATGGATGATATAAATAAGAAATTAACATACACATATGATAATAAAATGTTTCATTTTACAAGTTACTATTAGTATAGTATTTTTTTTTTTTAATAAAGAGTTATATTTATTTAAAAGACAAAATTTTATTTTTAAAGACAAAATATCGATTTTGATCCCTTAATTATATTATGGTTTTTTAATTTTTTTTCGTGTCATTTTAGTTCTTTAACTTTTAAAATATTTTATTTTAGTAATTTTTGTCTAATTAGCGACGGAAAAAATATGAAATTAGTCGCTAATTAGAAAAAAATATTAAAATTAATTAAACTCAAGGGTATAATTAATAGATCAAAATATGTATTTTTCCATTTTTAAATGTCAAAATAAATTATTTTTTTCTTTTTCTCCATCTCAGGAGTTTTTTTTGTATGATTATTTAATACAATTGAATTTATATATTTTTGTTTATTTTAAAATTAACTAATTAATTTCAAATTTATATACACATCTTAATCTATTTTATATCATATAAAATAAAATTATCCATCCACATACACGGGTATCTTATTAATTCCGCTTAAAATTAATGATATTTCTACTATCGTATATAAATATTTTTGAATCTTAAATATAAGAATATGAGTAAAGAATAAATATCTCAACGATTTTCTATGAAAAAAATAAAAAGGACAACAAAACTAGTTTAGTTCAATATAGAGAGATTAATATCTTTAATGAGATAAAATTGAAGAATCAAAACTACAACTTAGCCTAATAGTCTTAATAATAATAATAATAATAATAATAATAGTAAAAACTAAACATTATTTTATTTTATTAATGTTTAGATAAAATAAAATATTTAACAATTTTGTTATATATGTGTAGCGTAAATATCATAATAATCAATTTTTTTATTTTAAATAAATATTTTAATATTTTATGAATAAATTAAATGTTTTTAAGTATTGTATAATTATCTCAAAAATATTATATAATAAAATTTTAAGTATTGTTTATATTACCTTATGGGGTTTACCCATTAAATTTTGTAAAAAAATTTACGAATAAATCTTTGCTAAAGTTACAAAATTTTAATATTAGACATTTCGTCATCTAACAGAATATTTTAAAAAAAAATTAATTCTTAAATTATTTAATATTTAGTTTAAATTCAAAATGTAAATATTGAGAATATAAATAAAATCATAAGTGGAGATTTAAAAATTTTAAAAAAATATTTAAAATAATTAAATTATATTAAAAATAAAAAATTGGAATAAATTATATCGTTTAAATATAATAAATCTAAAGCTAAATAAATAAATATAGACATTTTTTAAATAAAAATATTAAATTAATAAGATATGTGGTAAAAATACATTTTGACACCGAGTGTAAAGGGATCCTAATTATAAAGATTTTAGGATAACGGAAATATTTAAGTGTTCAGTCAAGAAATATATTTCTTTAAAAATTGATTAGAAAAACAATTGTTTTTAACTTTATAGAAATATTTCTTCTGAGTAGAAAAATAAATATGATAAAATATCATACATTTTAAGTAACCAAATAATTTTTTAATTAAAAAACTTATTATAAATATTTGAAAACAAGTTCAACGCATTTTACTATATGTTGTATATTTGTTTAACATAAATTTAATTAATAGTATGTTGATTTTAGTTTAGAATATAAAAAAATATTATTTAACTAAATAATTAATATTATTATCCCAAATAAAAAATATCGACACTTATTGAAAATAGTATTGAAAAGTTATGATTTCAAAATCAGTTAATATTAAATTTCTATTATTTAATTTCAATTCTAGATTTCATTAATTTAATAATTTAATAATATATACTGAATAAAATATAATTTCAACATCAAAATGTATTTATTAAAAAAATATGTGTTTTATAAAAATGATTATATAGCTCATAAAAAGATTATATTTGGTAATATTTTAAATTATAAAATTGTGCTAAAACATTGTTGAATTTTTCTAATAATTGTGCTAATAATACAGAAATCTATTAATAGTATATATATATATATATATATATATATATATATATATATATATATATATATATATATATATATATATATATATATATATATATATATATATATATATATATATATATATATATATATATATATATATATATATATATATATATATATATATATATATATATATATATATAGAGAGAGAGAGAGAGAGAGAGAGAGAGAATTTATAATTTAATAATATATGATGAATAAAATATTATTTCAACATCAAAATGTATTTATTAAAAAATATGTGTTTTATAAAAATGATTATATATAGCTCATAAAAAGATTATATTTGGTAATTTTTTAAATTATAAAATTGTGCTAAAACACTGTTGAATTTTTCTAATAATATATATATATATATATATATATATATATATATATATATATATATATATATATATATATATATATATATATATATATATATATATATATATATATATATATATAAGGTTTTGGAAGTGATCTTATCGGATCAGACTTGGACCGTCACGATTGGCTCTGAGCTGAAGTTGAACGGGATGGGGGGTACCTGCAAGGTACTCCGATGCTAAAGTGAGTGAGAGTACGAGCAGGCAAAAAGTATGAGTATGGGTAAGAGAATGAATACCTGACCCTCTGGGAACATAGGGTATTTATAGCCCCCAACGCTGGGCCAAGGTCCTGTCATTGGGCCGGGCAGGTTTGGCCCAATGAAGGAACTGTCAGGTTCTACGTGTGTAGTGGGAACCCGCACGTGGTCTCCTTCCTGGGTGTTCTGCGAGAAGTACAGACGGACGAGGACGCGGTCTTTTCAGAATCTAGGTGATGGCGTAATGGTCATAGTCTGCCCTACGAGGGGCGCTCGAGCTGAGGTCGAGCTGGACTGCATGAAGTCGAGGATGTCATACTAGCAGATAATATCGGGCACGGCTGTAGCTTCTTGATCGGCGCGACCCCCTGCAAGGCCGTTTGGATTGGGCCTTCATCCTTGCTTTTGGGCCAGCCCGGCCCAGTCCAGAACAGGAGCCCCCCAAGTCGTGGTTCCTGGAGTAGGAGCCATGACTTGACCTTAGGTCGCCTCCGTCGCGGGGTCCCGTGCCCGGAAAAGAGATGTAGTTCCCCGTGGTTACTCGAGGAGTTTCCCCTGTGTCGCGCCCGTGAGATAATTTCTTTCGAGGAGTGCTCGGGGGACTCTCGATGGGCTGTGTTCGTTGAGCACACGAGGCATCTCTTGGGAACTGTGCCACCACCCTATTGAAGATAGGGTAATCATTGCCTAGGGGAGCTATGCATCGAGGAGGGAAGTCTGTGGTTCCCCGGGGTGACGTTTTGTATTCCACGTCATCACTATAAATAGGGTCCTTGGGCCCCAGAACATGTTTTTCCTCTTCGCGCTTCTCCTCCTTCTTCTGCCTCTACTACTACTGTTCTTTCCAGATATTCATAGGACAGTCGTGCTCTCCGTCGCTGATTCCCTTTTCCGTCGTCGCACCTCTTTCCTGATTTCAAGTAAGCGTCTTGTCCCCTTTGCTTTTCCTCTGTGATATATGATATTTTTCATTGTTTTAGACATTAGAGACTGTACGTCTGGGATTAGCCCCGGTAGATTTGTATTTGGCTCAGTAAATCCATGTTTATGCCCGGCAAACGCACGTTTGCGCCCGGTAAATGCATAGTTTTAGGTATTTGACTCGCAGTGCTTCCTGGGATCTTCATGATTCAGGGCGCCTAATTCGTGATAGTGCCCGGTAAATTCGTAGTTCTAGTTTTAGGATTTATGGTATCGCTCGCCATGTTCATAGCCTAGGTCGACATATTCGTGAGTGGCCGAGATGTTGGTCCATTTAGGCAATCTGTAGGAAGACTTGTCGTGGTATCTGGTAGTCGGGGAGGTGACCCTACTCTTTTTGTTCGAAACACCAACTTTTTTAGTCGTGCGTGGAGTGACTAAGTTTGTCGTGCCCTTCTTCCCGTCCGTTATGGCGAGCGTGTGGATTTGCTCCCCAATTGACCGGTTTCCTGTGCTTTGTAGGTAACAATGGCAGACGAACCGTGTTCCTCGGGGTGCACTGAGGAGGAGGACCAAAGTGCCGAGGAGAATGTGAATTTGGTCGATACCATCGACGATCCTCTGCTGGAATGGGTGGGCGCCGAGCCCAGAGGGATCACTTCTGCCTATAGTCGACGCAGTCGAAGTGCGTATACCATCATCGAGCAGGGCGGTAGTCAGCCCGGTTTTCAGAAGAACTTCGTTGTCACCAGACCGACTCTTACCGTGCGGATTTGCTCGGAGTTCCCCGAGTACGGGTTCCCCATGTATGAGATTGCTTTCAAGGACCTTGGACTACAACTCCCCTTTAGCGATTTTCAGGTCGGGGTCTTTAGTCATCTGGAACTGGCCCTGTCGCAGCTTCACTCCAACTCGATCGCTTTCCTCCGGGCGTTCGAACTGACGTGTCACTTTTTAAAGATTGGGGCGACCATACCTCTCTTCTTCCGCGTCTTCCATTTACAGCGCCAGTCTCGGGGAGGTAGGCACAGTTGGGTTTCCCTGAAACACTCGAAGAGACTGTTCAAGATGTATATGGATTCTGTCCGGGG